TTCGTTTCTTCACCCGTTTGATTTAGTTCTGTTAGTTCTTGTTATTTTTTGTTTAGTCGATCTATCTCTTTGTGTCAGTGGTGTGTTAAAGTCCCCTAGTATATTTGTTTTATTGCTCATTTGATTTTTCATGTCTGTTAAAATTTGTCTTACATAACTGGGTTCTCCTACATTGGCTGCATAAATATTTGTGATTGCCACCTGTTCCTCTTGCAGTTTTCCCTTAACAAGTATGTAGTGCTCTTCTTTATCCCTCTCTCTTTTTTAAAAATGTATTTGTTACAGGATCTCACTATGCAGCTTGGACTTGTAGTAATCTGCCTGTCCTCAGCCTCCCCAGTGCTGGGATTACAGGCGTGCGACACCATCCCCAGTCTTGGTGGCTGGGTCAGCGTGCCTGGAGTCAGGACTGGCACAGCGTGTGGTGCCAAGGATCAAACCCCTGTCTCTGTGTTTGCTTAAGCAGGCGCTTAGTCCACTGAGCTACCTCACTGGCCATTCCTTTATCTCTTTTAATCATTCTTGGTTGGAAGTTGACCTTGTGAGCAAACAGAACAGCTACCCCTTCTTCTTTTCTGGGTTCCTGTTCCATCCTTTGTCTTTCAGTCTGTGAATTTCCTTTTGAATTAAATGTGTTTCCTGTATACAGCATATTGTTGGATTTTGTTTCTTGATCTACTCTGCCAGTCTGCTTCTTTTACTTGGTGAATTGCAGCTATTTACATTGATGGTTATAACTGATAAGTATTGGCTTATCTTTGTCATTTTTCTGCTGTGTGTTCCTTAGTTTTCACCTCTATTTAATTACTTGCTCTAGTTGGTGGTTCCTTTCTGTTGTCCTTGAAGTTGTGGCCATTTTTGTCTCTTTCTAAAATCAGTCAGTTCTGTTTATAGAGATTTGGTTTGGCTGTCATGAATTTTTTCAGTTGTCCTTTGCCATGGAAGGACCTTGTCTCACTATTTAATTTGGTAGATGGTTTTGCAGGGTACATCCTTCTGGGTTTGAAGTTGTTTTCTTTGAGAACTTGAAATATCTCACTCCAGGCTCCCCTTGAGTTGATGGTTTGTGTTGAGAAATCTGCCATGATTCTCATGGGCTTTCTATAATAGATGATCTG